TCGACCCCCACATACACCGACACCTCACTTGCTCGGACTCCGGGAGGGGGCGGCGCGGCGTTCTTGGTGTACTTCTTCGCCGCGCGGTGCAAACGACGGAGCGTGGGTCCATTTACGGGGCCAGCCGTATTTTCCCACATCGCGTGTGAACGGCCCATTTGCTAAAGTGGCGATCGAAGCTGGACCTCCACTCCCCCACTGCCCCCTTTCCCAGTCTGTACTTCCTTTCACCCCTAAGCTGACAGTGCGGCGGAAGCTAGGCGCTCAAAAGACCAATCAGTCGCCTCGTCTTCTTCACCTGACCTCTCTCTCTCTGCGCATGGGTATACGGGTGGGCGCCTGACCACGTGGTGAAAGATCGACGTATGATTGGCCCAACGAGAACGTAGCTTCCACCGCACTGTCCACTAACGGGTGAACGGGGTACGTATCTCTCGTCACTGCCTGCAGCGCGGCTCGAACTGCCTTTAAAACCTGCGCCCCGGGGCACGAGAACGGCCTTTCGCTAAGTGACGACCGATAGCCACTCATTACGGCCTTTGCCTCCTTTTCTTTGCTGGGAGATGGCCGAGGCACGCTCTCTTGCGATCACTGTGGAATGATCGTAGCGTCACGTCACCGAAAACTTTTTTTTTTCTTTAACGTGAACGCTCCTTTTTCGCGGCTGGGAAGCTTTCGTGCGAACGATGCATTTTTGATACAATACAATACAATACAACGCAGGACAATACGATCACTTGGTTTTATTATCAAGTAATGAAAGGGGAGGCCGGGAAAATAATCTGCAAAACAACTTGACGGGTTTCATGCCACTTACAAAGTGGCGATTCAATAGAGAGCTTTAGTATTGCGTTTGGGAGAAAGAACAGGTACTCTGCGTTTGCGCTAGAGTTGCGTGCTTCACGTTGCGCATGCGCGTCGCCCCAGCCACGCGCCAATCCAAGAGTCCAAGACGCAGTCTGGACTTCCTCGCACGCGCAGTGTCAAACACGCAACGCTGACGCGAAAGAACAGTGATTGCGTTTCCTTTTATACGCAACTCTAGAAGACTCTATTCTTGTCGACGTTGCCGGAAGATACGGTCGTAATCGATAACATTTATAATTACTTCCCGTGGAAATGAAAGCAGTGTGACAGTTCTGATTACTTGACGGCAGGAATCATTGAAGGTTTCCTCAATAAGAACCGTAACTACGCGGATTGTGTCAATGGGTCAAGCGGACAATACCGTTTTTTTTTCTTCTATTTTTTATGTTCGCTTTTGAAGTACAACGCGGCTCGAAGAACGTGGAGTGCAAAGGTTCGCGTTGCAGGTCCCTGAGACCAAGGAATTGTAATACTGTTGAAAATTGGGCAATGCTCTGTTTGTGTGCATTTTCTCTGTCCTGTCCTGTGTCCTTGTTCGCGCTGTTTTACTCGTAAACATGAGACCAAGGGATCCTGAGGTCAATGCCCCGAACGGTCACTCTCCACCCAAAACGTAGCACTAGAGCTCCACCCAGATGTCAAAGTTACAAGGCTAGGCGCTACAAGAATCAAAAGTTCGCACACATGAAACAGAGTTCGCCGAAAACTAATAATTCTAAAAATAAATTGAAAAAAAAACCCATCAAATCCTGATTTTAGTTAGCTGCACCAAGTAATTAATTCGACCTTAACTAGAATATCCGGATATTATTTGGGACCCTCACTAAAATAGTTTAGAGATGCTATCAAGAAGGTTCAAAATTCGTGATTACGAGTTGTTTTCTTTTTTCGAAATAAAGACTCGTCGGGAGCATGACCACCCCAATTAAAATATCTGAACGACGGAAATTAGAAACTAGACGTATAATGGCACACTTAAAATTTATGAATCAGTTCAATCATCGTAACATTAAAATACAAGCAACTTGTTATTTGAAAATGCCAGATAGTCATTCATGTCGAACTCTCCACACTTAAATGATAAGGAAACAGAGCAGTAATAATAACGTCTTCAAATATTCGAACACCGTTCAGACCGTTGGAGACTGCAAGACACTCCCGGAAAAACGCATGATAGTTACAGAAGCTCTATCGTACGTTCGGGACTTTTCAATATGTGAAATACAACTTCTACATTCTCAAGTAAAAGTGCATTTTCAGCATAAACAAGATATTGGAGACTGTGACGGCACACTTTTAACACAGATTGTGTTTTATTTCTCACTGAGATCTGTAACGTTTGGCTGCGACGAAATGACGAAATGACAATACTTTAGTTCCCCGGCAGGATTTGTACTAACCACCTCGAGACAGTGAACCGAGTGCTTTACCGAGTGAGCTAGCAAAGGCTTTCTATTGTTTTTTTCTCACTTTTATGGTTGAGATAGTGTGGGATGGCGTTTGCTCTCGACGCGAAGGGAGATCCTTTCGCGAGACATTCGAAGGGCGCGCGCTCCCCCGCCTCGGTCGCGTGCTTCGGGGCCTTGAAGGCGTCTGGGTATGTCGTGCTGCGCCATCTCGCGGCGTTTGTCAGAAATGCGAGCGAATCTTCAACACACCTGCGTTGTAGCAAGGCGGTGCCGTTCAGACGCCTTTCTCTTCTTCGGTGGAAGAAGAGAGAGGCGAGCTTCTCTAGAGTGTAAGAAATGACAGAAGCAGCAGGAAGAGCCTTGATCAGGGACCTTCACCGACGTGCAAAAGTTGTCACTTTATTGTATAATTTAATTTTGACATTGTTTCGCTACCCACCAAGAGATCATGCGCTCAATCCCACCCCCGCCCGTTTCAAACCAGGATGAGCATCGTACCACCGGTGTTCGGTAAAGTAACCCTACTGCGTGATGCACGTTAAAGACGTCGGGCGAGCGGTGGTACTGCATCGGCTAAATTTATCATCTACAGCTGGTACACCAGACGCCCGTTGGGGTTCACTAACTTCCCGCCATAAAAAAAAAAATACATACACACGAAGTTTTGCTTCGGTATAATGCGATCAACTGCCGAAAACATCTGTCGGCCATTCAACGTATGGAGATCTAATAACTTCCATCTCTCTTACAGGCATTTCAGATTACCGAGCAGTCCCCGGTACCTAATTCTCGAGATATTGGTAGTTTGCTCATCAGCTTTCACAAATATCTAGGCATTATAAGAAAAAAAAGTATTAAACGTAAAGCTACGCGTCATTGAAGTTTAACAAAAACGCTAGGAACCAACAACTTTCGTCGTGTCCTTGCCTGCACCCCCCCCCCTTTATAGCACGCACATTTATATATATATTTTTATCGAACGTGAAGGAAGTTGTTAAACAAGCAAAGTATAAAGAAAAGTGAAAAGGCGCCGACCGGAAAGCCGCACGAGCCGTATACCTGCGGCAACTCGCCAGAATTCCTGAATTATTGGAAGGAGCCACTCGCGGACATTACAATTCATGATAAATGGTCGAATTTAATAAGCTTCGCGGGAGGCTGCCGAGGTACTTTATTAAAAGCGAACACTATTTCCCATTTGCGGAAGTGTTGATCGATTTTCTCTCTTCTGTTTCTTGTTTGTAATCCTTTTTTCTTCCTCTTCTTCTTCTGTTTGGTCGACCTTTATGATCCGTCGGTTCGTTTTGAATGCGGAACGGGTTTTCGTTTGCTCTTGTCTGTTTCTCTGCGTTTCGGTGTTGTAAAAAAAAATGTTTTGAAACAAAAATTGTGAAATAAATCTGAATTCATATCCACTCCGTTGGTACAAAAGCGTGCGTTTTTTTTTTTTTCCGGGAACATAAGGTGGGAAAAATGTGACGGAAGTTTTGCGAATTAAAGCGAGGAAAACGTAAGTACGGGGTGTTGTAACAAGGGACTACCAAACTGAGTTATATATTGGCTCCCTTCTTGTATTTTTCAACACAAATTAAAAATAAATATTATTCTGTTTTTAGTGTAGTCCTCGCGTTTTTTTTTTTTTTTTTCACACCAATGAGACATTTAGAACTGAATTCTGCGCCGAGATAACCGGGATATCAACAGGAGACACACGCACACACACAAAACCACGTTATTGTCGTTTTACATTTGTTTTTCTAACTTCAGAGAACATCAGCAAAATACAGGTTATTTATGAATATACCTGTGTTAATTGTTGGATATCTTTGATATATATATATATATATATATATATATATATATATATATATATTATATATATATATATGCCCTATAACGGACTGTCCAACAACGCAATCCTGGAAGAAAACACTTTGAAACGTTTAGTGAATTATTAAGTAAATATTTTATTTTTGGACGCCGCCAGTATTATGAAGTTTACGATATACTCCCATTTTTAATATTTTATATTTAAGTCACGTGTCTTCTTTAACATTTTCTTGAGGGAATCGGTTTTACTCTGCCTACCTAGTGCAATCATAAGAATCTCATCCCGTGCGTAATGCTCTGTACCAAGGCGTCCGAAATATTACTAATTGTAGAAATAGATAAAAATGAGCTTTAGAAGAAAGTCAGTCGACCTCCAACTCCTAACGTTTCCCTCGCTGGATCTCACGGTCCAATTTTCGTACTCGCTTTCAAACATCGTACGGTAAGTGAGATCATCTCGGATTGATCGCAGACAGACCACTTCGACAATCTGGCCCTCAGAAAAGTTTGTCTATTTGATAACGCTGACCAGATAAAATATCCGTCTAGCGTGACTCTTCCTCGTATCTTATTTTTGTCAGGGACGGTGTGTGTCAGAGACAGGACTTTCACTGAGACTTGGCAAACTTCCTTCGAACTTCATGTTGGCATTAATTTATTTCCAGAGAACCACACGCCAAGGGAATGCCCGACATTACTTGAGCAGACTTTACACGGCGAGCTTGCCATGCTTATCAATATATTACTTTGGTCTCCAGTTTATTTTGCACAAAGCCCAGTGTTTCCGTACCACGTTCATTGTGTACCTCTGTCACTTCGCCATAGGATAAAAAAAAATGCGTGTCAAACTGTGGAATTGTGAAATGAGAGGAGGACGAACAGATAGTGACTTACCTTGCCAGACGATTCCGACAGTCCACGGGATCACACCGAGCAACAAATCCACGCACACCGGGAAACACACTCGAGGTGAGGAACACCACCCCCAAAACCAAAAGAACAGAAGAAAACAAAGTAGCCGCAATCACGTGGATGCCGTTGAGAACTAGTTGATCGCGAGCACGAGGCCACTCAAAACAAGAAGAAGAAAAAAAGAAAAAAAGGTAGGCGTCAACAACAGTGCGGTGACCAAAATCACGAAAGCAGACGAGACAACATTCAACGGGTCGCACCCACTCCAAGTAGTCGTCACATCACGCACATCACGGAAGATGTCACCATAAAAAACAAAACTAAATCTCGTCACGAGAGCTTCTCCTCCCGAAATCTCTCCACTGACGAAGAAGCGCAAGAGAAATCGGCGGGTGAAACTTCGGGCAGCCGGCGTTATTCCAAGAGCTCGGTCGGCGCTGCTACCATCGGCGGCCACGCGTACGACCCAAGTAGTGCATCTCACCGGCGGCTCCAATAGCCCCCCTCAAACACCGCTAGCAGCGACCAAATTTCCCCATTGGCCCGTACGGCGATGGCGTCGCTGCCGAACGCGGCGTCGCCTAGCGGTCGTCACTGGACGAAAAAAAACTAGCGCGCATGCTCAGATTGGTACGCGGTGGTGGAGGTGGTAGGGAGGAGAGACCCACTATAGAAAAGAGCCGGATGAAATCCCTCGCGCAGCAAAGCAGGCATCTCAGTCGAAGGAATCGCGCGGCGGCTTCGGCGGCGGCGAACTACAAAGGAGAAATTTTCTCTTGACAGAGCCGCGCCGCCGGGTCCCGGTCAGTTTGATTTAGGGCAGGTTTTGCGTCGGAGATGCTGAAACGAATTTGTCGACATCTTATTTTCTTATCTCTTGCGTTTTAGTATACGGTGGCGGGCTGAGTTCCGTTGTGTCGTGGGAGGCAAGAGGGAGAAAGCGTCCGTGTTTGGGGAGGCGTAAAATAATTTGTCCGGAGCTTCTTTTTGCTTTTCCCAGACACAAGGTGCTGGTGTTTGAAGGTGTGTGTGTGTTCGGGGGGGGGGGGGGGGGGGGGGGGTTGGAGGAGCTGGGGGCAAGAAGAGAAGTTACTGACGCTTCATTCTGGCGTAGGCAAATAAAAATGGAGAGCGACGTTCGAAACAAATCGTTTCGCCTGGTCCAACATTCACCTACTCACCTCCGGTCATCTTTTTGTCGTTGCTGTCTCGGAACACGCGCAGTTGGGCTGGGCTTGAGAAAGCAGAACAACGTCGAAGATTACAATGTTTGGCTTCTAGTAAAAGGAGAGCCCTACGCAAGCAAGTTAATGCCGATACAAAAGAAAAGTATTAAAAAAACTGCTCCCAGGTACAACGGAAAAGAACACACAAAATAAAATAAATGGAAGAGCAAGAGCCGCAAGAGCTTGAATCGAACGAGTCAAATTGGAAGCTTAAGCCGTAGCGAAGCGTATAAAACGAACCTGCTTCTTAGAAAAAAGTTTGGCAGAGTCGCATCGAGACGAGCGCAGAGAGAGACAGAGAGAGAGAGAGAGAGAGACATCCCCATGCATTCCACACTCTATAGCTGTCGTGCCTAGTATTTGCGTCGATGACTCCGAGCCTCCCGCAGGCTTTTGTCTTCCTTTACTCGCGTTCGCTCGCGCACCCCGCTTAAACGCCGCGTGTGGGTGTACGTAATCCTCCGGTCTTATTTTTCATACGCCGACGTACTGTCGTGGCGTGATGATGAGTTCTGTTCGGGGAATGGCTGTTTCGGTCGGTGTCCGTCCTCCGTTCCAAGCCGACTTGAAAGCGTTGGGGAAGCCACGTACTCGTTGAAACCAGTCATATGTTCATCGTTCGCCATGTAGTCCAACTCTCCTTCGTACCCACGCGCAGAGAGAGAGAGAGAGAGAGCGGGTTTGGGGTGATCAGAAAGACGCGTGTGATTGGACCTGCGAGCGCGCAGCGTCCCACCGCGCTGTCAGCTTAGTGGGTGACAACGGACCATGGAAGGGCGTGCTTGCAAGTTTGATGTCCAGCCTTGGCCAGAACAACTTTCTGCTCGCAATGGTCCGTGAAAATTTGGATTCGCACGAGGGGCGCGTTGACTCCGTCCAAAAGAGAGGGTGTATATTTTTTTTTTTGGTGTGTGTGTGTGTGTGGGGGGGGGGGGGGGGGGGGCGTTCTTTTTCGATTAATGTCGAAGAAGGGTTCGTCGAGGATTTCCGTGCGTTAGCTCACGGTCGAGTTATAGCGGTGAATCGATTTTCGCTTTTTTGGCGTGGCTTCAAGGTTCGACGCCGCCACGGCTGTGAAGAGAGTTAGATGCGGCCGAGAGAAACACGGGAATGAGTGAGGCATTAGCGGTGGTAAGCTGGTCATTCTAATGGTCGCGTGCAGGCGTCATTTTTGCTGCGCCTGTTGTCGTTGTTGTTGGCGTTGGCGTTGATGTTGTCGTCACTGGTTTGTTTGAAGCGTGGAAAGAGGCAGATGCACGCTTATGAGGCGTTCGACCTTGGTGTCAAGTAAGAACACTCGACTGATTCACTGCAGCAGTTCGGACATTCCAACGTGGTCCTTAAAGGGACCATGAATACGATATTAGACGCCTTAGAAAAGGGTGTTTCCCGACTCTGTGGGGACCTGGAAATTAGCTCAATCTTTTTATAATATTAAAAGAAGCTTAATATTTCGTGCAAAATAAATGAACGAAACCGAAACTGACGTTTGGCCTTCCAGCCATGCGCCCTTTTCTAAAACGGAGGTGACGTCTACAGTAAACTGTCGGTTTCGGTATTTAGTGGTCATGAGTGCGGCCGTCGCGGTCAGCTGTAGTAGCGCTTTGTTGTCTGAGAGCTTTGTACCGCGTTGCGACGGCGAGTAACCAGGCCATTCGTGCTTCGAATGCCTCTTGCCAAGCGACTCCTTGAATTCGTAGCCACGCTTCACACGAAACACAGATGACCCCAGATGACCTGGTAACCGAGTCAAATGCATTCAATCGCAACTGTGTGTATGGACGCCATTTTTTGTCCGCATCGTTTATTGCCAATCGCGTTGCGAGCGGTCCTATCGGATCACGAAGGAAGATTTATTGTGTGTTGCTTTTACGTACAAAGTGAGGCACAACACCGTGATAGGCTTAACGCTAGACATGACGCAAGTGTTCTCCCGCTCGAGGAGGTTCGGCGTACAACCGACGTTGTCTTGGGCTCGCGGAGGGGCGTTTATGGACGTCATCGTTCCCGCATATTCGCGCATAACACTTTTGTACACCACAGACGCAGAAATGTTTCATTGGATGAGAGGCTGGATGGGTGTGCAGGAAAAATTGGGGGCGTGATACACGAAGTCTCGCATAAGCTTTTGGACATGGACCCGGAGGAATACCGGAAACTACAGTGCGTCAGTCTGGAACAGTTCCTGCTGCTCCCTTCACACGTGCAACCAAAAATCGCAAGACAAAAAAAAAAAAAAAAGGACAACGCACAACTATGCGCTAGTTTTGTTTTTCTCATTAGAAAAAAAAAATCTGGTGATATTGCCATATTAAAGGTGTTTCAAGTGAATCCCCGCCCAACATTTGCATGTGAAAGGTGCTCGACTATTTCAGTCCACGCGTCCGCGGACTGAAATAGTATTTTATTTATATGTAAACATTTATCATAATAATATATGGTTCCCATTTTTTATTAAATAAAACCAAAACTTTTTTCCAACTTTCGATTGAAAACGAAGGCGAGCAGATTTCATTCCCTTCGACCAACCGTCTGACGACTCCTCAATTGATGTCACAATCCGCGCAACTGAAAAGCTGGATTTTTTTTTTTTTTTTGGCAGCCTCTTGTATCGTTGTCATCAGTCCCAGCGGAATTATTTCTGAATCTAATAAATTATTATTATTTATCTTTGTTTCGTGCGCCAGGGCAATTTTCGTGCTAAAACTTCGTTAAAATTTACCTGGAAGTAACGCGACACCTTTCTCAATCATTGAACTGAACTTTCAAAATCGTCTTCATGTTGCTCCCTTTAAACGCAACACGCGTTCAAGTTGCCAGATTTGAAGCGCGACAGGTTCCTCGAAGTAGAGATGGGTAAAAAGCAGACTTGTGTGTAACGCGTCACAAGTTATAACGCGTCACTTGTAGCTAGACGCGATTTTTCGCTAACGAAGTAACTAATTAGTTGCTTTTCGAGGAAAGGAACAAGTAGCGTATTTTCTTTACTTATTGATAGAGTTACGAGTAATGCCATTTAGTTGCTTATGGAGGGGAACGCCTACAACAAAGGCACCCAGCCTAGTTCTTGCTTCTGTACTTTATACGGCAAAGAAAACGCTAGATAGACAATAGCAATATGTGCAAAAGGTATGCCAGTATAGCTACAGTCATTCATGAATGAATGTGTTATAAAGCGAGGAATTAAGGATATCATCAAATATCAAAAGGCAACTAAGGCAACTAAGTTGGAAAATTTAAACCAGCCTGGTTAGAGTACTTCCAGTTTCTTTTCTTAATACTCACCTAACCAGGCAGATTTTGCCGAAATGTTTACTTTTCAACAACTAAGGCTTCAAAAAAAGGAAAAAAAAGAAAACGACATTTAGATTGACAAATGGAACGCGTTACTTTAAAGCTGGGGTAACGCGTTCAAACTAATATGTAACGTACTTGGTTACTATTTGAGCGGGTTATGAGTAACGATATTTACTTCCTTTATTAAAGTAACGTGTTCAAGGCCAGTAAAAAGAAGGTTCAAGTGAACTAAAGTTCCTCGCATTCTGCAATTGATAATAACTGCAGACAAGTGATGTTTTGTTACACAAGCGAGCACTACATGCCATACAAATGAATTTTGGAAGCACGGCGTTACATGAGAGCAATCCTTCGCGTCTCGATTGCACACCGGCTCCCGAAAACACTCAGGAAGCGGAGCGTTGTGTCTCATTTTGTTTCCTTTTTCGTTATTCTTTTCCTTTGTTTGTTTCCTTCCTTGTTATCAGTGCTAAGCGCCGCTCATGATACATCGTCGAGAGATCTGACGTAATACTCAGGCATTACGATTGCGCTGTAAATGATACGTACTCTTTGGAGTTATACGCTAATGAAAGAACAAACACGGGGGCCGACTCCAGGAACCTTCATTGGGGATTAAAGTTAACAAACACGCACGTGGGAGTTTCATCAGTCGGCTAGTGGGGAATCTGACCGGGTACTGGCAGGGCGTTTTTTCGTTTTGTAGTTGGTGATGTTAGTTACGAGATACAACTTAATAATAATAAAAAAAAAACGATGGAGGTTCGTCGCCATTTTGATAATTAAGTGGTGTTGACAACAGGACTAATCATTTGAAAATTCGAGAATGAAATCCCTTCGATGCGTGAAAATCTAAAGGAGGGCGTTCCGTGCTCGTTTCGTCGTTTTATACTTCGTTTCACCACAAGGCAGAGCGCAATTTAAGAAGTTAAACAAACATGTAGAGATAT